TATTATTATTATTATTATTATTATTATTATTTTGGAGAGGTTTTTGCTATAGGGTGTGTGTGCTCACCAGAAAGACAGAGAGAGACAAAGAGACAGAAAGTGAGAAATCACCCCCCCCAGGGGGGATAGCCATGCTGCAGTCCCTTCTCCTCCATTCTCCTCTCGGGATCTTTGGCACTCACGCACACATGTCCAGCATGAGTTTAAGACACCGGGTCTGGGACTCGAACTGCAGTTGACTACATGGGAGTCCAGCAACAAAGCCATTACACCAACTGCTGGTCCCATGCTATCATGCATATTTTGTCAGTCTTTCATCCACACTTTCCAGGCTCTGCTCTGGGAAATAAGCATGACTGTTGTCTATGTCATCACCCCAGACCAGGAGATCCAGCAGATTGCCACTACAACCCTCACTCTGCCATCTGTAGATGTCTCAAGCCCAACATCTGGAAATCTTCTCAACTGGCTGGCCTCTGGACTCAGAGCTGGGTTTGCAATCTGTTCATAAACTTCACCTTTGTTTTTATTTTCATAGACATCCCCTCATTAAATGCCTGATTGCTCTACCATCTAGCAAATATTCCCACCTACAAATAAAATTAAACATTTAGATTAAAAATATATGTATATTGAATAGAATTTAACTGAGCGAAGAAGAAGTCAAATGGGGCAGCCTCCAGAACAGACTCTGAGAACTTCAGTTTATCATGTGATCAAATAATATCTACGGACAGAAAAACGGAAATGATGGACAGAAAATGAAAGCGAGGTAGAGGAACAGCTAGGTGGCTTCAGCTTGGCATTCGCCTGCTTGAACAGTCTATTCGGTGGGCTGTGACTGACTGCAGTGTGACGGGCTGTTACTCAGCTGTTCACTCAGGAAGTGGACTCCTAAAGTAGGTTGCCGTTTGTATGCAAGAACTAACGTATTGGAGCATGGAAGTTTTCTCGGGCCAACATCGCTTGTTTTCATACTACCTAATCACAACAGATGGCTCAGATGGTCTTTAATAAACAAAAGCTGCTCAAACAAAAGACAGACGTAACAGTGTTCAGAGAAAAGAGGAATGCCCCTTCTTTCCTTGAACAAGAGGAGAGACTGGTCACAACTCTTTCCTTGACCAACCCTTACTAAGGTTCTCTGTGTCCTCTTCTCAACTAGGCCTCAACCTGGGGCTTCTGTGTCTGTCTTGGCTGAGTCCAGTTTTGGCAAGACCCTGGCTATACCAGTTTAGAGAGAACCACTGACCCGCATACCTCTTTCTGGACCAAACAGGTCAAGCTGGATGTGCAGGGCCAACACTGGCCCCCGGGCAGTGGGCTGTAGAATGAGGCCTCCTCTGGCTCCCTTGAGTGTGGCCCTCCCTTGAGGCTCCAGCACCTGTGGTAAAAGCCGGAATAAGCGGATAAAATTAGGTTAACACAGGCCACAGGGCTGTGCCTGCTTTGAGGGATTAGATATACTCTTTGCTCCCCATTTTCTGTATAAGAAGGAAGAACTGAGCCCAGAGACTCCTTGTTCCCAACTAACCAGTTGTGGGATTTGCAGGCCCTCCAGTCATGACCAGTTGGGATATAATATCTAGGATATGATACCTCTAAACATCACAGTTTTTTGCTCTTCAAGAGGAAAGTTGCCTTTAAAATTGCTAAGGAGTTCTCGCAGGGCATTCTCCCCCCACCCCAGCCTCATCAAGGATTTGCACCATTTGTTGTTCCTCAGACCCAGTCCCTGTGGTTCTTTCACCTTCTGCTCCAGCTGGGCCCTTCGAGTGTGAAGCCACCTCTCGAAGGTGTGAAATTTCCAACACTGACCAATTGGCAGGAGGGAAGCAGTTGTTATTACATTTGTTTTCTCCTTCTCCCATGCACTTTACTCAAAAAACCTCTTAACACTTTTTTTTTCCTTCTTGAACAATTTTCTAGAGATTTTTCTTTTAAATTTGTTCGATTAGCTTCCCACAAGGGCAGTTCTCCAAGCCCTTCCCTGTCTTGGGTAATAGAGCCAGCACGTGCTCAGTACCTCCCATGTGCCTGCCCCTCCCCTCTCCCTGATACCTCTGTCCTCCCACCAGCCCGCTTCGAGACCCTCCCTTCAGTCTGTGGCTACTTCGTGGAGTAGGGGAGTAGGTGTGATGGGCCCTATTTTACACATAGAAACACTGAAGGAGATCCAGGTGGCTGGCACAGGCCCGACGTTGCTGACTGTGGTGGGATGTGAGCTGGAACAGGGTCTGTTTCTACAGTCTCTGCCCCGGACCTGTGATCGCCCCAAGCACCCATGGATGGAGTACTAGACAGTAAGCTCCAGGAAGGCTAGAATCTTTGTCTGCTCAGTTCCCAGATCTCAGGAAATGCCTGGCACATAGCAGATGCTTAGTAAATATTTGCTGAATGAGTGAATGACAAGTGAAGGCCAAGACCAGATGTTTTTAAACCAGGATACAAATTTTTTGGAGAGATTGTAAAAAATGCTGATACCCGGGCTTGATGCCTGGAGATTCTGTAGTAATTGATTTGGGTCGAGACCAGATTTTTTTAAAGTTTTCCCATGGAAATCCAATGCACACTCTGAAATAACATTTTTCAACTGTTGGGCATGAACCTGTGTGTACGTGGTATTTTCCTACCTCAGGATGGTACTGCTGACGGGACAAATTGTTACCACTCAGGACCTCTTCTTCCCCGTTCTCTCCCTCTCACTTTCAGCTCTTTCCCCTTTGCCTCTTCACGCCAGCATCCGAGGAGGAGGTTTTGAATTGGAAGCTTCTTAGGCTGCAGTGTAAGACTTTTTTAAAAATTGATTTGTTGCCAGAGGGTACATGGACAAGAGGAAAAGAGAGAGAGAGAGAGCACCCTCAGTGGGGCACGCCAGTCACAACCCCTTTCTCTTCATTTCTCTAGTCCATCAAGATTTGGATAGGCACACACACTCATCCGCCATGTTTTTCAGGCCACTGGGGCTGGGATTCCCACTGTGGTCAGCGACTTGGGATCCAGCTCCCTGCGCACAGTGCTTAACTGCTGCTCTATGGGGCCAGCTCTGTCGTATTATTTTAACTGGGAAAAATTTAGGAACTAGATTATAGACATAAAATAGATCCTGGAGCGAAGAGAACAAGTTTTGTTTGTTTGTTTGTTTGTTTTTCTCTTTTAGTGAGAAAGAGAGCAGGGAGAAAAAGGGAGAGACAGGTATTTTGATAGGGTCTCTCCAAGTCTCAAGTCTCCTACCCCAGCTTCTCAGGTACTAGGATTACAAGTGCATGCTACTGTACCTGGCCTATTAAGGGACTCCTTGTTCCCAACTAACCAGTTGTGGGATTTGCAGGCCCTCCAGTCATGACCAGTTGGGATATAATATCTAGGATATGATACCTCTAAACATCACAGTGTTTTGCTCTTCAAGAGGAAACTTGCCTTTAAAATTGCTAAGGAGTTCTCGCAGGGCATTCTCCCCCCACCCCAGCCTCATCAAGGATTCGCACCATTTGTTGTTCCTCAGACCCAGTCCCTGTGGTTCTTTCACCTTCGGCTCCAGCTGGGCCCTTCGAGTGTGAAGCCACCTCTCGAAGGTGTGAAATTTCCAACACTGACCAATTGGCAGGAGGGAAGCAGTTGTTATTACATTTGTTTTCTCCTTCTCCCATGCACTTTACTCAAAAAACCTCTTAACACTTTTTTTTTCCTTCTTGAACAATTTTCTAGAGATTTTTCTTTTAAATTTGTTCGATTAGCTTCCCACAAGGGCAGTTCTCCAAGCCCTTCCCTGTCTTGGGTAATAGAGCCAGCACGTGCTCAGTACCTCCCATGTGCCTGCCCCTCCCCTCTCCCTGATACCTCTGTCCTCCCACCAGCCCGCTTCGAGACCCTCCCTTCAGTCTGTGGCTACTTCGTGGAGTAGGGGAGTAGGTGTGATGGGCCCTATTTTACACATAGAAACACTGAAGGAGATCCAGGTGGCTGGCACAGGCCCGACGTTGCTGACTGTGGTGGGATGTGAGCTGGAACAGGGTCTGTTTCTACAGTCTCTGCCCCGGACCTGTGATCGCCCCAAGCACCCATGGATGGAGTACTAGACAGTAAGCTCCAGGAAGGCTAGAATCTTTGTCTACTCAGTTCCCAGATCTCAGGAAATGCCTGGCACATAGCAGATGCTTAGTAAATATTTGCTGAATGAGTGAATGACAAGTGAAGGCCAAGACCAGATGTTTTTAACCCAGGATACAAATTATTTGGAGAGATTGTAAAAAATGCTGATACCCGAGCTTGATGCCTGGAGATTCTGTAGTAATTGATTTGGGTCGAGACCAGATTTTTTTAAAGTTTTCCCATGGAAATCCAATGCACACTCTGAAATAACATTTTTCAACCGTTGGGCATGAACCTGTGTGTATGTAGTATTTTCCTACCTCAGGATGGTACTGCTGACGGGACAAATTGTTACCACTCAGGACCTCTTCTTCCCCGTTCTCTCCCTCTCACTTTCAGCTCTTTCCCCTTTGCCTCTTCACGCCAGCATCCGAGGAGGAGGTTTTGAATTGGAAGCTTCTTAGGCTGCAGTGTAAGACTTTTTTAAAAATTGATTTGTTGCCAGAGGGTACATGGACAAGAGGAAAAGAGAGAGAGAGAGAGCACCCTCAGTGGGGCACGCCAGTCACAACCCCTTTCTCTTCATTTCTCTAGTCCATCAAGATTTGGATAGGCACACACACTCGTCCGCCATGTTTTTCAGGCCACTGGGGCTGGGATTCCCACTGTGGTCAGCGACTTGGGATCCAGCTCCCTGCGCACAGTGCTTAACTGCTGCTCTATGGGGCCAGCTCTGTCGTATTATTTTAACTGGGAAAAATTTAGGAACTAGATTATAGACATAAAATAGATCCTGGAGCGAAGAGAACAAGTTTTGTTTGTTTGTTTGTTTGTTTTTCTCTTTTAGTGAGAAAGAGAGCAGGGAGAAAAAGGGAGAGACAGGTATTTTGATAGGGTCTCTCCAAGTCTCAAGTCTCCTACCCCAGCTTCTCAGGTACTAGGATTACAAGTGCATGCTACTGTACCTGGCCTATTAAGGTCGGTCTAAAAACCAAACCTGGACCTCCCATGCAGCCCCAGCCACAAACAGCAGCACCCCACCATTGGTACCACTGCCGCTGGGCAAAAAAAAGCAAATTCTACTTGCTGTGTTCTAGACTCTCTATTATGCCTACAGCCCGGAGCCTGCTCTGAGGTGCTCTGCAGGGCGCCCACATATTTTGGGTGTGAGGATGTTTCAAAGGAGTAGTCTGACCTTAATGTCAGGAGCCAAACAACACCTGGGATTTCAATGGGCCTCGCCTTTCTGTCTAGAAAATGGTGCTTGATTCTTTGCCCTACTCAAATTTTACCCCAATGATAGTACAGGAATAAAAATGAATGAGGAGACACACAGAATAGGAGAGCACCAGCAGCTAAGACATTCAAATGAATTTTTGAAAGAAGGCAAGGAGTTGAAGAAATGGTCCCTGATTTGGCACAGAGGAGCACATTTTAACTTGAGGGTCTGTTGGAGACAATTCTGGATTGAAGTAGAACCCACAGAACTCTTGTGAGCTTTTGAGTTTGGAAACTGCTGTGGTTTGGATATCCCCCCAAGAAATTCACATGTTGGGATTTGGTTGTATTGTAAAAACACTGCATGAAACAAGCCCTTTCTGGTGCCCTAGAGTGGGGCCTTTGGCTGTGATAAGGTCGTGGAGATGGGGTCCCTGTGACTAAGTGAGGTGGGTTTCTAAGAGGGGAAAGGAGACCTGAGAGGGCAGAGGCTTACGGACGGCCACTCTTCCATGTCGTTGCCTCACCACAAACTCTCCACTGGACGTGCAAACTGCAAGCTGGATAACCCTCCATTGTTTTAGTAAATCACCCTGACTCAGGTGTTTCTGCTAGAAATGTAATAATGGACTATGACCAAGGATCTATTCGTAGAAAGGGATGAAGTCCTTTCTAAAACCAGAGCCACTGGCTGCGAGTCTGCTGGTCCCCTCTCCATCCCTCATAGCCAAGAAACTGGGCATTTGGGTTTATCCCTATGAGAATGCTGATTCAGAGTTTGAAAATCCTGAAGAAAATCCAATAGTTTCATGCATGCGCTCCAGAGCTTCCTAGTAGCCTGTCAGTGACTCCCTCTTAAAATGAACAGATAGCCAGGGACATGACACAAGGAAACCTTTCAACGTGGAAAAGATGAAATACCCAAGGGGAAAAAAAGGAGATTGGAGGAAACAAATAATACAGGAAGTATAAGAAATAACATTTCATCATTAAACAAGAACATGGCACTATGAGGAAGGCCCAGCCATAGTACAAGAGTTTCTAGGAAGGGACCAGCAATTAGCATAATGGCTATGTCGTTGAATTCCGTATGTAGTCGACCGTGGTTCGAATCCTGGACCTGGTGGCTTAAATTCACGCCAGGTGCATGTGTGTCCAAGATCCCGAGAGAAGAATGGAGGAGAAGGGATTGTGGAGTGGCCATCCCTCCTGGGAGGTGTTTTCTCGCTTTCTGTTTCTCTGTCTCTCTCTCTCTGTCTTTCTGGCAAGTGCACGTGCCCTATACTAAAACCTCCTCCCCCCAAAAAAAAAGAGTTTCCAGGAAATAAATAAAATAAATAAATAAATGGGACTGATATGGTTAAGCACACAGAAAAAAAAAAAAAAAAGGTTTTTTTTAGAGTTTTTCCCCATAGGGCATGTGCGCTCGCCAGACAGACAGAGAGAGACAGAGAGACAGAAAGTGAGAAATCACCCCCCAGGGGGGATGGTCATGCCGCAATCCCTTCTCCTCCATTCTCCTCTCGGGATTTTGGGCACGCACGCACACGCGCCCGGCGTGAATTCTAAGCTACTGGGTGCGGGACACAAACCACGGTCGACTACATGGGAATCCAGCGACATAGCCATTACACTAACAGCTGGTTCTCAAGCATACAGAAAATTTAACTGACTGGAATAAGTCAGGGACGGTGGAACATTTGGGAAAAAAAATTAACAACAGACTGCTGAAAAGCAGGTGAATGCAAAACAAATTATAAACTGGAAAAACCAAGGGCTACATAAAAATTGAAGCATAATCTAACTTGCTACCAGATTCAATAGCGGGAAAATATCTGTACAGTCAGAATAAAATATAAACTGTTAACCAAAGACTGTGATATAATTATGTTTGAGTGATGCAGTAGGAAAATGGGAAGGAGAGTTGGTATAGGAAAACTAAATCCTCGTCTGCTCTGATGCAAAGTTAATAGCAAATAGCTTCAAATGATGGGTTAAGAATTAGAGAAGTGGGACCAGCAGTTAGCGTAATGGCTATGTAGCTGGACTCTTATGTAGTCTACTATGGTTCGAGTCCCAGACCTGGTGGCTTAAGCTCACGCCAGGCGTGTGTGAGTGTGTGTCCAAGATCCCGAGAGGAGAATGGAAGAGAAGGGATTGTGGCGTGGCCATCCCCCCCCGGGGGTGATTTCTCTCTTTCTGTCTCTCTGTCTCTCTCTGTCTTTCTGGCAAGCGGATGCGCCCTATAGCTAAAACCTCTCCAAAAAAAAAAATTAATAATAATAATAAGGGAAGAATAGCCAGAACTAGCTTTAAGAGTTTGGGGGAGTTGCCACTAGGGAACAGGATCAGAAAAAAAGATGGCTGAAAATAATGGATAAGGGATCAGTGCTTCAGTATGGGCCTTTTAGTGCTGTCTTACTTTCAAGTTATGAACAGGTGTTACTTTGATTTAAAAGTA